ATTTTGCAATTAACCTTCTAAGACCATGGTTCTGCATATTAATTAGGTAATTTTTCAATTTTTAAGTCTTGTTTGAAAAGTCTGTATGTTCTTAGTTTGTTTTTAGCCAAGGTTTGTTTTCTATTATCATTATGCATGTCTAAGATCCATTTGTTCTCAAATGATTTTTTTATTTTTTTATGAATAAAGTCTAAATTTTTCTTAATTATTTTTTCACTTGAGTTTACAATGGTGACAACATCTAAGCTTGGCAACAAACAGTAAAACATTGATTTTTCAAAATAGACATTTAAAATGACAACAAACTTACAGCCCTTCCAATGTTAAATTTTCTGCTCATTGTGTGGTATATTTAAACAGATTATAGTAGAGAGAATTATTCAAGATCAAGAACTTGATTTGTGTAGACTTGTTTGGTAATGGAAGCCGATTGAGATTTTGTTTACTTTTGGAAATTTGTGCGAATAAAATGTGATTAATCATGTCTAATTTTGGAGTGCCACAGATCGTATAGCAAATATCTTGGAGTCTATTTTTCAACAGCGAAGCAGAGAAAACGAACAGAAGCAGCTGGGTACCTTTACTGTGTATAGTCAAAACACCGTTTCCTCCAGGAAAAAATTAGGAATTTTAACTCCTTTGTGCGACAAACAGCGTCTTTGAGGTTAGTGTATCTGTGTGTATGAATTTATGTAAGTTACTTGTGTGTGTATGTGTACATTTGTGGTGTCAACATTAGGATGACTTTCATTTAACTCTCACTATTTTGCCATAATGTGTCTTTTTGGCTCTTATGCAATGTGAAAAACAAACAAAACAACTTTGTGATATGGATGTGGCATGAACATATCACGTTGTCCAAGTTGATACACATGAGTGTCATTCAGTTTTGTCATCAGACATCAGACATTTGCCTCGATGGTTTAATTTTTTGTCTCAGGTTTTTTGCTCTAAGACAAATTGTCTCACAAAAATGTAAGAAAATTACAATTTCTGTTGCAGTTTGTGAAGTGTAGAATAAAATTGAAACATAATAAATTATTGAGTACACTTCACTATAAGGATAGCAAAATGCTTCATTTCTATCTCTATGACTACGTGGATGGGTAATTATCTCATATTTTCTAAACTGGTTGAACAATTCTCTCCCCTCCCAGATATTTAATTGCTTGTAAGAATATAGGGTTTTATTTGTTACAATTTAGCGGTTTACAATGACGAGATTGTACTGTATACCTTGTATTGGAGGTCTCGCTTGTTTATGTTTTGCATGTCTGCGAATGTACATGTGTTCTATGACTGATTGGCATGCACCATTCATTTGCACCGAAGATGAAGTAAATTGTGTTATTCACTGCTTTTTTTTTTAATATATGTTCCTGGTAATCAAACAACTTGTGAGCGATGTTGTCAGATCAAATCACATTGATCATCATATATTTTCATGCTGGTTGATAAAAATGTTAACAAATAATGTCACATTGCAAGCTCTATATCTTATGTTATGGATTTAATTTATTGATTAAATCTTTTGTTAGTCGCTATTCAAACACAGTCCAAAAACGAGGACTATTAATTTGGGGTCTGTTCGTCCAAAGTTGTATCTCAGACAGTCATTGGTCGATCTCATTCAAACTTTACAAACAGACACTACATCATGTTTCGCAGATGCCATTTTTTTTTATTTGAAGATCAGACCAAAAATGGTGGCCATTTTGGACATCAAATTTGCTTCTTTTGATTCTCAAACTTGTCAGCAGCAGTTTTTTGTAGATAACTACTACAATTTTATGATCATAATTATAGTCCAATGAAACTTATCTTTCTTAAAATTCATAAAACAATTTTTAAAGCAAAGTGCCACAATGCACCATTATTACTAACTGGCGGCAACTACATGTAAATTTAACATGATTAGTCATTGCTCTATTTCATTGCTCAATTTCAATTCGGAAGGAACAGTGCCAACAAAGTGAAACATCCAGCATCTAAGTTTGCGTATGCCCCTTATGAGTTTCTTGCATGTTGTACTGCAATCAGGATTACAAATAATTGGTTCATTTGTTCCTACAACATGCTTGTGAAAAAAAAATGGGTACAAAGATGACATAATAGGACTTAAACTTACAGGGGTATCAAAAGCAATTTTCTTGATGCACTGTTTCTATATGCTAAAGCCATTTTATAAATTTTATCCTTGGATTAAGGTTCTGCAATAGTATACATGTATCTGTGTTTTTCATTTTAACTTCAAACAAGCTGGTGGCCATTTTAGTCCTAAATCAAATCCGTCATTGTTTTTAATTGACACAATAACTGAAAACTGAACAGGGACTATGTCATTGACAGTGACTTGTTAAATTCATTTCTGTGAATTTTTCATTCAGCCTTTAAGTAAAAAAAATGTGTTTATTTTATTTCAAGAAATTGTCAATCAAGAGTACACTTTCAGTTCATGTCTGGTTCTTTCTTCTCCTATAAATAGTAGTGATATTAAAAGTGCAATCCCTTTACTAACTAACACACACTGGACTTATTGATCAAGGATTTGTAACTAATCTGTGTGTGACAAAAAGGTTTGTTTCTATGTTTATTCTTGGTGCGTACATCTCGCATAATCTTGGTGTTGAACTGCGGTGATTACTTTAACCTACTCATTGGATAATGAGGTGAAAGTGGGTCGTGTAATTTAGTTCTATTTATATACCAGTACTTCATGGCAGTTAGATCCATGCTGCCAAGACCTTTTGTGCATTCTTAAAAAAATACCTTCATTTGAAATTAATAAAGTAGTCTTTATAACAGTGTTGTGTAAAATGCTATGTGTTTTAGCGTGACCATCATTGAAATACTAATCAATAAGTCCACCAACATTTCCAAGTACAGACAAAAGACTGCATTTATTGTTCAGATGCCAGTGATTTCTATGGTCAGTGCGCCCTCTACAGTTGGAGTTTCAGAGTTTTGGTCGGATGTCTATACATAAAAAGAAACCCCTACCTTCAAAGTTTGTTTTTTTTCCCTTTGTAGTGGGCTTGAGTTTCAACTTTATAATAAAGACAGGAGCTTCAATAAACATCGAAAGACCTCATTCTTTTAACATCCGTAGCCCGAAGAACACATGATACATGAAATAGACAAGTAATTGAAGGAATCCGACAGTCCCACCCTACCCACTGTAACATTATATCGCGTTTTTTTGGGCTAATTAAAGAGAGTCTTTTGAAAAATCAATGTTTCCACCTACATGCCCAATCTTCCTCCCTCCCTTCTCTTTTTATTTGTCCAGTACAATTAAAGTATACTGTAGAAATTGAAAAGAGTGACTGGTCGAGGTATTAAACTATGGTACGGATTATGGTGGACTTAATGCCTAGAGCAAACACTGATTGGTGAATGGCCGTCACAACAATTGCGCTGATAATTACGTGTAACCAGAGAATGTGTTCATTTTAAGATTGTTACATTCTTATTCACGCGAAAACCATGCTGCTTTCTAGGGTTCAATTTAGTGGGTTTTTTGCTCTCTCATTTTATTATCCCACCTTCATCAGATTATTTTGTCTAGGAATGTTGCTATTATATACTTAGTGTTGTAGAAATGCTTTTTGGAATGCTATGGTTATATTTAGATTTTTTTTTTTTGTCTTTAGTTGGTAATACATTTCGGTCAATGTGATCATTTTCACAGTTTCGCAAATGTAAGTTTAAAGAGTTAGATCATGATATAATACTTTTCCAGCATTGAGTTCCACGATCACCTAAAAATGCTTCTAATTCTCATTCATTGCTTTTGAAGTACTTATTATAGCAACAGTACCCGGTGAAATACATCAGTGTAGCTGAGAAGATACTCTGTACACTTTACAAGGTAACCATGCTCAGCTAAACCTCAAGCAGCCGTTGGGTGAACGCCTTCTGTGTTTTTGTAATTCGTCATGGAGTTTACCCGGTTGATCGCTTATTACAAAGAATCTCTACAACAAATTGAATGAATAACAAAATTTAATCCCCTGTTGTTGAGAAAAGGGGTGCCCACCAGCTGCCTACTTAGCTGCGACAGTCTGTACTGAAAAGAATCAATCCATGGTATTTATTGAAATGTTTTATGCATGCTGCGCTGCCCAGTCTGAATATAAATTGGTACAAATAGTTGGATTACTTCCACTCAAAATGCGGAAATATTATCATTTTGTGTTCGATGAATAGTCAATGGTGGTCACAGTGGCCAGTTTTATTTGTGTGCACTGAACCCTAAGTAGGGGGTGAATGGTGTTCTTGTTGTCACTAACAATAACACTTTAAGAAATAGAAACAGTTAATTGAAAGAGGACAAAAACTTCACCAAATTACACTTACTAGTTATCTTTTTGCTCGGCTGACTTTATTAAAACATTGCAAACTTTAACTTCTTTTTTTTCTTTTTTTTTTTCGAATGTGTCCAACTATCTTTTGTTGCCCAAGGTTAAGATTAAGTAGGAATTGCCAGCTCCATAGATATCTATTCACGTTCTGGAGGGTTGTTTGTTTGTGTGTGGTCTATTGATGACAAATTAGCGTGATTTCTTCAGTACGTAATAGATTTCCTTGAGGGCTGATAAAAATTGCTAGCCTTTCTTTCTCTGTACATACATCGCAGGATGGCCAGTATTTCCGTGGGCATTTTATCTCTAGTGATGTAGCTTAAACTATTTAGCACCATCATTTTCAATGTGAGGAGTATTCATACATGTTTCATACTCATAGTCAGGGTGATCAGCGTCAACTCTTGTTGCACTTACTGATACATTTCTCAGCATTTCTCATCTTTTGAATTTTATAATTGTCCTCCGAAGCATTCTATGGATATATTGTTTAGTACTAACAATAGTCACGCCATCAAGTACATAGGTCATGTGCTGTATAGTTGTCAATCTGTTTGTTTATTTTTGGATAATACTCATTGAAAAGATATTTCATTTCACAGAGATTCGCAGCATCACTTTGTGCATACTTGTGAAGATTGCTTTCCTTTTCGTAGTGTTATTTTATACTCTCCAGTAGGTATTGTAAGATTTTCTACGCATTTGCCTCGCAGTAATGTTTTTTTGTTTTGTTTTTTTACAGGTGCGGATATCGGAGGGTATTCCACTAATATTGGAACATTGTAACATAGATGAACACAATCCATGTATCCTTACACTGCAAAACTTTTATTTATTTATTTGTTATTCATTCATTCATTCATTCATTCATTTATTCACTCACTTACTCATACACTGACTCACTCATACACTCTCTCAAATGCATACATGCACACACACACACACACACACACACACACACGTGCATGCATGCATTCATCTCTTAACATCGTTGTGACGGCACTCATTGGATTAACTTTTAATATAGTTGAATTAACTTTTAATATAGTTGGATTAACTTTTAATATAGTTGAATTAACTTTTAATATAGTTGAATTAACTTTTAACATAGTTTGATTAAAGCACGACTCTCTATAAGGTTGCAATTTAATTAGAGTTTAATTAAACTCAATTACATTGCAATTCAATATAAAATTGCATTTTAATTCAAGTTTAATTAAATAAAAATGACATCATACATCCTATGACTTAACATAGAACTATTTGTGAAGCTTAGGGTTAGTAAATGGGGAAGGTATGGTACAGTTATATTAATATTAATATAAATTCAAACTTGACTTAAATTCTAATAAATATTAATATAAATTATGAAAAATAGTGAGGGTCGTCACTTGGCAGGTTTGTCGTCACTTGATAAGTGTAAAGTTGAATGGAAGTCGTCTCAACGCTAACGCACATACACACATATATACACATACACATACATGCATTTGAAAGCTTATTGCTTTACACATTTCAGAGTTTCACACCTTTTACATGTTTTGTATATTCACCTGAGCTAGAAAATCTCCTTAACATTTTATATGCCAGTTATAAGCCAGTGGGCTATCTTTGCAATTCACAACATATGTGAACAAAATGCTGACAACCAGGACGTCATCGCCAGTATGCAGAACCAAGGTGTCGCTGATTGTAAACAACTTAAAGAACTTGGCGTGGATGTTCAAGAAAGAGATGGCAAAATTTATGTAAAAACAACAAAAAAGACAAAAGCCTCTTAGATGTTTTACTATCGCACATAAATTACTCAGTACCATAAATGTCTTTTTGTCTTTTTATTATTTCCCGTTTTTCATTCTACTGGACATCCTACATTTTGCGCTTAAAGATTGATAATAACCACCATGACCACCGCCGTCGAAATGGACCACTGTCTGAGATAACAAGCAGATGGTGCATGTCCACAACCATCAAATTGTCATTTCTTCTGAAGCAGATTATTTATTATCTCATTTCTCTTCATTTTATGAGCTTGCTGCTCTATGCGTTGTGTCCAGGTCAGTGTTGTTTGTATGCTACCAGTGATTTGGGTTGATCAGCCTGTCAACCTCGGCAATTAAATTAGTGCCAGATTAGTGAAATTACAGCACATGTTAATTGATTCAGCCATGTGAGCTTGATACACACTGAGTTCCCCCTGAAAGTTAGTTATTCCATCTGGGAGGAGAAAGTCATTCAAGTGGAACCTTCACTTTGAACAGTCAAAGGAGCACTTAAAAGAAATGGAGTGTAACAGTATTGTGTCCCCTCCCACTTTCCTAATCACTACCAACTATGGGGTGACTATGTTGAGCTGTCTAGTGTCAGGTGTTGACATGATGTGTAACAGTATTA